ACGAACAAACGAAGTCAACAGAGAACATGAAGAGCATGTAATATTTAGCAAAGTGCACATAAATTGTGAGGTAGGAGGGAAGAACCTATGCTGAGTGAAAATACGTTTGAGGTGTGCGTATCAATTGCCAAAAACTATTTGTTGACAAGAGAATTCTTTGGTACATATTTGTGTGTGCGTACTAATAAATAATTGAACAAGAGGAAGAGTCTCTACCGCTGCCTCTGATCTCTGCCACTGCCCACACACATGTACATTTCATCAAATAGTTGGGAGGTATTCGCTTGCATTTTCCACCGCAATTCAAAATTCATTTCCATGGCAAATTTAACGAACAATTTCCAGTCAAATTGTCCGTGCATCAAACGAAAGTTTGCTGGTTCAACTTGTCGGTTAACAAATAGGAAAACAAAAATGTTTGTGTTTATCGAAAGAGAAGGGAAATATCCATAAAATTGGTAGAATTGATGAATGATGTTTGAATCATAAATTTACACCCCATTTCCCTACGTTTATATTTGATATAGTTGATTATTTTGATAGTCAAAAGGTTGGTCGTCTAATAAAACTCTTAATTGATTTATTTAAATTAAGATATAATTACAAGAATTAATTTATTTGTGAGATTTTTCAATATCAGCTTATATTTTAATTATTTATTTACTTTAGTCTTGTATTTGTTTTATCAATTTAATTTATTTTTTTTTAATATTTTACTTGTTTTATTTTTTAATTTTAAAGTAACACGAATACTGCAAGCAGCAGGCCGCAACAAGCTACATTTGCATTTCCGCTTGCCACAAAGCATTAAATGCCACAGGCAGTGCAACATGTTGCTTTTTACGCTTTACGCACTCATTAATTTGAATGCATCATGCAACAAGGCAACATCAATAATGACAACAACAAGGACAAAATCACCTACCAAAAATTATCTGACCACGCCACTCACGGAATGTATAAATGTATGTGCATAATAAGCTTACACAGGATGCCGCACATGCCATACAATGTTTGCCACAATTGACTACAAACAGTGGGGTTTTAATCTGCTTGTTTTGAATTACGTTGTTTGAAAATGGAATACACATAGAATATTGTGCACATCAGCAATTAGGCTGCAAGCAGAATTCAATTTATTAAAAGTTTAGCGTTAAATTCTCCTTTTTATACCCTAAACGAACCAAAAATAGTTTAAAAAGGTGTATGGAAGTTGAGTAAAAATATATATACAAAGTTTTAATGCACTTATCTATTAACTTAACTCTTCAAGTATTTCAGATTGTAGATTGAAATATGATTTGGTGGGTCTTTAATTAAGTGTCTAAAAAATAATTTAAGCATCGCTCGCAGCCAGCTTAGAGAATAATCGAAGTGCAGCCGATTAGATATTAGGAAGTGAATGTCTAATGGACCAATAATCCGGTGGCACAATGGCGTATCGAATCAAGAATTCTCATCTTTTTGCAACCGCCAAATAAATCGGATGACATTCAAATCTTTAGTCATGATGAATTTAAGCCACGTCATTTGCCAAGCGCTATATTCTGTCTAAGACCTTAAAGTGTGAAATTATTTGCAATGGAATTTTTTTCCTATTCAATTCGAGGAGACAAGTCAAAGTCTAAGATTTTTATATATGTTTCAATACACAAAAACGCCCCGTAGACAACATTGAGCTATAAAAAATCCACACTTCGATGTTAAATGTTTGCGCAAACGCTAAACAAATAGGAGTCAAATTATCAATGCAAAAAAAATTTCGAATACCTACATTTTTTATGTATTTAAATTGTATTTTTTTGTGACTTTTATTTATTATTATTAATATTATTATTATTGTGTTATGTGCAAAATGTAAACAGCTTTTGATTTATGTTTGATAGCAATAAGCTCGAGATTTTCAGTTGAAATGCTCGACAAGGACAAAAAGTCGAAGAACCAAGATCCACAAATATATATTTATATATGACTTTAAATTAAAAATTTCGAAATCAAACTTAACAGACCTAATAAAAAATGTGAATATGAAATATTCTAAGCAGCTTGTGATTTATGAGTAATAGAATATTTTACTAATGTATAAACCTAAAAATATAAATTAAATATATATGAATTATTGTAAGAGACTGAAGAGTTGTAAAGAATTAATGTCACAATAATTCAAGAACTTTACAATGCAGAACAATTCCCCATTTACTGGCTCACATATGAATAGATTTTAAACATAGTATATTTCATGATTTATTTGCTTTACATTTTGCCATATATTTCATCGCAAAGACTTTTGCCATAGCTTAGATGCTGCCAAACAAAATTCGTACATTTTGGGGCACAAACACGTAGACAAATTGAATTAGCACAGCGCTAAATGATCACACGGTCTCTCTAACAAAAAATTGAACAGCAATAGAAAAAAAAAAACAAAATAAATAAATAATAATTTAGTTAGCAAAAAAATTTTCGAGATAAATAAGAGGATGAAAATATACAAGCAAGTACATTTTGTACATAAGATACAGATACAGATAGAGATATACACATAATATAGATACAGATACATATACAGATAGAGAGATAGATAGAGATGTAGATATATATATAAAAAAAAATTGGGCGCGAAGTTCCAAAAAACACACATGGATAGAAAGACAGACACACACACACACACATGTGGACACACTCAGGGGCGGCAAATGCTATTTTTAGCATATTAGATGATAAGATTGTCGAGGCAAACGCGCAGAACTTTGCGGTTTCAGCGAAAAAAAAAGAAAACACTAAAAATTATATATACAACTGTATGTTTGTGTATATATTTCAATTCGTATGCACGAGCCAGCAAACAAGTTTTTTTTTTAGCATTTTTAGCAATATATAGAGTTTACACGCAGAAAGCCAAAAAAAAAAAGGAATGTTTCAAAATCATATTAAGTTTGCTGCTTTTATGCCTTGCACCCATTCAAAAAACATCAAAAGGGGTATAATGAAATCGAGCCAAAGTATGTAACAGACAGTATGCAGTAGACAGTGGTTGAGGGTATCTGCTAGTCGAGTTCTCGGGTCTAGAGCATTCTTAATTGTTTGTTTCTCTCTTTTTCAGCTTCTTTTTGCGCTAAGACGCGTTTTGATTTACAGCCTCGCTGCAGAAAAGATGGCCAAATTTGTTTTTGCCGCAGTTACCTTTCATTTATAAAGATAGCTAAACATGGTGTTTTTAGCTCAAACTTGAACTTTAATTGGAATACTCTGCAAATATGTACAAAAAAATATTAAATGTAGGGTATCTTTAATTTGAGCATTCTAGAACATTTCGGTATGTTTCGAAATAAATTTGTCTTATTTTCAGTAACTTAATAAATTTTGGCTAATTAAACCCCAAAATGAAATAACAAAAGCAGCTTGTTTCGAGAGCACTTGATATTCTTACAGCCACAATTTAATTACAAAAATTTAAGTATTCTTGGCATTAAACGGAATTTATATTTGAATACCCTGTCTAAGAAATGATATTAACTTAAAGTTGAGAACTCTAGTTTCGAAAAGAACAAAGACCGAATAAGATCAACATTGATAGAAAATCCATTTTATAAGAAATGTAGTTTCTGTTAATAAGACCCGCACCTTTATTTTGTTGTTGAATGAAGTAGAAAACACCTGTTTAACTTTGTGGGTTTAACCTGTGATATAAAGAACTCAATGAAATTGACATATTTTTACTGTTGGTCTTTTATTATATCCACATGTATGATTACCTAATATTTGCAGGTAAACAAACAAACAACAATGTCAAAAGTCCAAAAATTTCCACTGGCTGTTGCCAAAAATAAGCGTTGCCAGATTTTACTTAGAATGCGAATGCTGTAAATGGATTGTAAATAAATACATTATCTCAAGAAAGTGCTTGGATACAGAAAAAATTCATCATTTCTCATTTCTTTTGCAAAATAAGTATTTTGTTGACTTTTATTTTTCTTCGTATTATTTTTCTTTTATTAAGCGGACTACTTAACAAAATATGTTATTTTCATTAATTTAAACAATTGTAAAATTATAAAACCAAAATTAGCCATCCTTTTACTGTCAATAATTGTTGAAATACAGAATAGCTTGAGAGATCAAACACTGTTATTTTTTATATAACTTTTTCATACAAAAATGATCTCGCACGGACAAATTGCAACAGGGTATTTTTGCTAAGCTCAGAGATGAAAGTTAAGGCAAAAATAAATCGCCTATTTCTAACGGTGTCTGGAAAAAAGGCAATTTCAAAATCGTTAACAGCGGTTGTCCAAACACTTGCTTGACAGTCGAATGTATGTATTATAATAATTTTACTGCTTTAAGACGTCCACTTTATAGTAGAAATATAAGAAGAAAAAATTAAACTCAATAATAAGATACTTTTTTTTTGCAAACGAAGTTTGTGTCCAAACATTTTCTTGATATAAATGCAGCAAGCATTGCAATTGACAACTTGTAAATACATGCTGAGAACGCACAAAACTACAACTTAATAATTAAAAACTACTAAATGAAATTCCCTCAACATCTGCCAAAACCAGAAACAGAAACCGAAGAATAGTTGGAGTTGGAGTAGGAGCAACTAGAGCGAATCATGACACAACACAACACAGATGCATTATCAAGGTTTCCATTCATGAAATGCAATGCGTTTAACCTCTAGCTTAACAATTCCCCTTCGCCCTTCCTTCCTCTCCTTTCTCCTTTTGAATTCCCAACTGGTTGCGGTTTTTTTTGCTGAACCCAATAAATGTTACTCAAGCTTTAGCTTACAATTTAAATACGACACTAAGTCAAGCAGAATTTTGCATCTGTTTAAGGTTTGTTTCAATTTTATTACCAGCATAGAGAATATTAATAATATTTAATAATATATTTGATATAATTTAATATTTTTTAAAATTAATATACAAAAGAAATTCATTACTTTTGTATACTTATAATAGGAGGAATTAAAAACGGAAGGCTTTACTCACATTTTTTGGATGGCCTTGTACCGTTGCTCTTGGCACGATCAGCGCTATTTTGAGGGCTCTCTTCTCTCTCTCTCTTGGTTTCGGTCTCTCCCAGGTTGCGTCGTATGTATTACAGTTATGCAGTTAGAGCTTTTCCGTTGTAATTGATTTTCATCTTAAAGTGATTTACATAGGTACATTTTTTGCACTGTGCATTTTGCAGTTGTACATTCTTCTTCGTATTTGCATTTGCCTTTGCCTTTGCCTTTTCATTGATTGTTTAGCACTTGTTCACTTTTGTTGTTGTTGGTTGTTTTTTATTATTGTTGTTATTATCGCGCCGCAATTGGTTTTGTTATTGTCGTGTATATGTCGTATTCGATTTGGTTGCTTTCTTTTAATTTTGCTTTTAATGAAATTTTGTATTAGCATTAATTATACTGAATAAAACGTTACACACACACACATAAACTCACAAATACTATCTTTATATACACGAAGCTGAGCGAGAAAAGAGCGAGAGAGCGCTAATGATGCATTTAGCGGTAAATTTGCAAAGAAATTAAAGAATAACATTCAAAAATATATTCTTATTTCCAACTTTCAACTATCAAGTCTCTGATATATAATATAATATAGAAAATATATTCTACTTTATTTTCCAACTATCAGCCATTATCAAAGCCACTATCAGCCATTATTATATTATATATAATATAAAGAATATATTTTTTAATTTGATTACAATTTTATTTTACAACTACCAGCTATTATCAAAGGGCCGAAATATAATTGACAAATATTCCGAAACCTAAACAAAATTTATGTTTTAAAATTCGTCCCCTGGGAACCTTAACAAGATGGGGTAATATTTGGTGCACTCATGCAAATTGATATATGAAATTTCATTTCCATTTTGTTTAGCCTGGCAACTTTGCAATAACACATTTTTACATGCCGCCCGATAAAAATGTTTCTGGTTTGGGTTTTCTAAAAAGTCCGTTATCTATGCATTTTGTTCTCAAGGGTTTTTCTCTACGATCGTGTTTTCCTGAGCGCTGAAAAATAAATCACATTTGCGCTATGCATTTTTATATATGCATATATTTTTTTCACAAACGTTTTTCCGCATGCTTTATGATTACAGACACATACACACTTACAGACATCCCCACACACACGCAAGCTCACACACATACGCAAATGCACACACAGATCGTAGCGAGAGAAAGAGAGAGTGGGAGAGAGTAAGAAAATAAAAAATACAAAACAAAGTTGAATATTAATTATCACAAATTAGTAAAGTTGCAAATATTCTTGCTAACGCATTTTGTTGTTGTTGTTATTTACGATGTTTACTTTTTTCTCTAATTTACGATAATTATTTAAAATACTATACACACACACACACACATACGGGCAGCAGCCGAACATTAGAAAATTGTTGCATAAATATTTAAACTGTTTGTTTTTTTCAGTATTTTTTTTTACTTTACAGTTGTTGTAGTTGCTCCAGAAACAAGAAACGCCGAACGATGGCGTACTCTTTTGCCCCAATCCAATCAAAAAATATAATATACAGATACAGACATACACATGTCTGCGTACATATGCATATGTATGTATGTACGTATATATGCGTCTCGTTTGTGTATGTGTGCGTGCGTGCACGTAGACTTTTGTAATCCGCGAAGACCAACTTGTATCGCAGGCGAATAGAATAATACTGAAGGCGTGGAGCACAACGAACGATGAGCTGGCCCCAAACCACGCTCTCTCGCAGACACACAGAGAGCGAGATAGTGGGAGAGAGAGCGAACAAGTGAGCGCGCAATCACAGACAGCGCAGGCAGATCAAGCAGAGCAGCGTTTTTTGTTCGTTGGTATGCGTGAGCAACTTTTTAGCCTGCTGCTCACTGATACAGACGCACAAGCACACACACACATACATACATACATAGGCAGACAAAACAGGCATCTGCAGCAAAATTCTATTTTTAAACTTAAATTAATATTGTTCTTTATTTTATCAGCAGCAGCAGCAGCGCCAGCCTCTCCGTCTCTCTCACTCTCGCAAGTGACTTGCGAATGTGTTGGTATATATTTGTGTGTGTGTGTGTGGGTGTGCAGCAGAAAACCAGAAAACAAATAAATAGTACAACGAAACTAGAAGCGCGTGTTGTTGTTGCGGCTGCTGAGGCTGCTGCTGGCTTAGTTAATGCTAATCAGCGAAGTCAACGACAACGCGTGAGATATCAGTGCGTGTGACTGTGTGCGTGCGTGTATGTTTGTATGTGTGAGCGAAACAAGCTAAAAACGCAGCTCAAAAGCGCGCTCTGCTCTTTGACTGTATTTGCTGCTATTGTTTTTGTTGTTGTTGTTGTGGATGTCGTCTGCGCTGCTATCAACGCTTGATAAGAAATGCGTTAATCTTTATTATGCGCGACGTAAGCAGCGCAGTTAAGCTGCATACACACATGTATATATATAAGAATATATGCATTTGTGTGTTTCAGAAGTTTTTCATTTGTTGACATTTCCGCTAAGAATAATTCGCAATATGTGAGACAAATTCAACAGCAAATTTTTATTTATGCGCTTAAGACAAAAAACATAAACAATAGCGACAAAAATAAAAGGCAAATAACAAAAGCAACAACTTGTTGATGATTCAACGGTAAAACGCTGTGTGACAGTGGGGCAAAACAAACTATAAAAATCGTCGCAAATGCATCGTTAGCAAATTCCTGGGCAGAGGACGGCGGCGCTCAGCTGTTTTATCTTCAGTCAGAATCAAAATGCCGCAAGAATTACTCACACACACACACACGCACACAATTTACATATGTATATGGTATAGCAGGAGAACGAGAGAGTAAAGAGAGAAGAGAGAGCGAGAACAGCAGGCAGCAGAGAGTCTTTCGCTCACCGATAGCGAGAGTGATCTGTTGCTTTATCAGTGGCGGGCGGCTATTTATAGACAAGCGCAATCCCAAAAAAAAAAAACCAGCCGACCGACCAACAAAAATACAAATCACCAAATTGCCCAAAAATATCGTTAAATATGTCAAACACAAGTTAACTTAAAACAAAAAATAAATGCACTTATAGGCAAAACGATTGCAGCAAGGCAACACTGGCGCAAGAGAAAAAGAAAGAGAATGTGGCTGTTATTGTTGGTGCTCAGTGAATGATTATGCGGCAGGTTGTATGTATGTGTCTGTGTGTGTGTGTGCACGTGTGTGTGTGGGAGTGATAATGCATAAACACAAAGCAAACAATGCAACTGGCCAACGATGCCAACGAGATAAAAAAGAATTAAAAGTACTGTAAAAACAATAAAAAACGACGATTTAGTGAACATCATTCATCATAGACGAACGATTGCTATGCAAATTCATAATGCACAAAAAGCACTTGAAGAACAAAAATCTTCAAAGTACTTCAGCAGATGCAAATGAAGCGTAAGCTTTTTCAATCTCTTTTCTAGTTTATCCTAATATGCATACGCGAACGCACAACCATATAATTATTATTTTTATTAGCATATAATAAATATTTGAGTAAAATGGCGAAGCGTAGTTTCCGTTATTTTAGAACGCTGCACATTTTTTTTGAACAAACTGACCCGATAAAATAGTCCGTGCACACAAGTCACACGACGACAACGACGGCATAGAGAAGCAAACTGGCGGTTAAATTTTGTGCACCGCAACAAACTTTAGTAGTAGCTATCGATAGCCAGCTACCTGTCGATAGCCACATAACTACCAATCGATAGTTTGCGCGCAATCTAAAAACAGTGTGACCGTTTATTTAAAAACAAAACAAGCAAGCGTTTCCATTTTGAAACCAATAACAATTGCGCCGCTTTCATATCATATCAAGATATTATTAATGCCCGGTAACATTGGCCACTCCGTGGGACCCTTAATAAATGTGCCCCAGACTTGAGCAAATTCACTACGTCTGCGTAGCTGCTTTTGATTCAAAACGTTAACATTAAAGTTTTGCGCCTGAAGCTGAACGCTTCCATTGAAGTTAAAATGAAAATGACTATGAGTGACGTAAACATTCCGAACAGCTAGCGGCAAGGACTGCTCTTCATTGGATAGCGCCAGAGGAAATCCAATCGAGTTTGGTTCATCGTCGTTGGGGCAACTGTCGCTATCGGAGCCAGTGAAACTGCTGTTGGATGTGTTGCAAGGCAGCTCGGTGGACATACTATTGCTATTAACGGCATGCAACTCTCTAATGAGCTCACGGCAACGTGTCTGCAAATCATTCAATTGCTCCTTCAGCTCAACGTTCTCCTGTTCCACTATTATGGGTCGCCTCTTCTTTGCCACTCGTTGCTCGACTGCCTCCCCTTCGCGTTCAATTGCCAAATTCTGTACATATTTATTAATTTTCAGCGGTGGTGTTTCATCTGCTTGGCGATTGCTGCATGCTTGCAGCTCCAACCACTGCAACAGCCTGGAGAGCAGCACAGTAGTTAGAAGCACAATGCCGTAGCTCATTAGTATCTCATAGATACGATCGGAAAAATTATTCTGCGACGAGTTGTGTGGACAATACTTTGGCACATCCACAGCAATGGGAAGCTCTAATAAAGAGTCGTTTAACATAATATAATATAAATATATAGGTTATTTTTTGTACCTGTATAGAGTTCCACATTGTAATCTGTTGAGGAATCTGCCTGATCATCGTTGGCATCCAAGTAGCAAAGCACCGACCAAGATATAAACGCCAAGGCGCACAAGAACGTGAAACTTATGTTTTGAAACATATTAACGCTTTAAAAATTTAGCAAGTGTGCGTGTGTGTGTTTAACATAAATGTGTATTTTAAACTCTAATCTCAAGTGTCAGAAATTTGAATGACCGAAATTAATGTGAAAACATGTTCTTGGTATTTAAAAAAAAAAAAAAAACAGTTTGAATGAAGGCAGTATTCATCGGTCATGATTCACATATTATCGATTAATATAAATCGATGTGTGCACTTGTCGCCGCGCATTGTGAGTGGCGCTGCTGAAACGTGCTAAACTTAATCATTCTTTTATAAAAACGCTTTAAAAATGGAATTAATGGTATGTTGTTTCAACCACAAATTGTTAACGAGCAAAATGACTATAAACCAAATACGCAGCATGGTGCTTCGATGCTTTCCAGACCGGCCGAGGAGTTCGGGAACGACACGCTGGTGGAGGAAATGTGGGCAGCGAAGGCACTCGAACATGCCGAAGTGCATTTCAATGTGAGTTGAATTTACGCATAGTTATTGTTAAACTAAACTCACCACCACTCAAATTGCAATTAGCTGCTAACCAGCGTGCCGCCTGCGCAGTTGCGACTAACGCCCTACGATGATCAGATATATGCCACCTTCCGTCAGGACTTTCCCGATCTGCAGGTGGCTCGCCTCAGTGACGACATTCTCAAAACGGCCAGCGAGAAGCTCAAGTGGCGCCAATTTGCCGAGAAATTCAATAAAATGGAAGACTATTCGTACGGCACTTTAATGCGCGCCGATGCTAGCAAAGAATTCTCACCGGACAACTCAATTTTCGTTTTTCGTGTCCAATTTTTGGCCATTGAAATTGCACGCAATCGCGAAGGCTGCAACGATCAGGTCCACAACAGCCACAGGCCGGCAAAGAAACTGGAGAGCAAAGCGGAAACGACGCAATAATAATCTGATATCAAGTTTACTTATCCAATAGTTAAGTTATTTAGTTAATAAAGTGCAGCGAGTTTTTTTTTCATTAAACGTACAGAAATTTAACGTTATTTAGTGAAAAATTCATTTTATAGCATAGATGCACCCAGTAAATGTGTTTGTTTTTTATAGCTATAAGATATACGTAAAGTATAGAAATGTATTGTCAGCACAGACCTACTCTCGCTTCAATCTGCAGTCTTGCTCTAGTGTCGCCTCCTTTGTCGTTTGGTTTTGCAACATTTAGCGTGCGTTGCTAGATCGTTGAAACTGAAAGTAAAAGTTCAAATCGTAGAAAAAACATTTATTTTATAGAATAGAGGCCCCTAGTAAATGTGTAGTCAGCTTTTATAGATATAATATAAGATACATATAAGCTATAGCTAAGTATTGTCCGCACTAGGCGCAGATTTGGCCCCACACCCGCCCCGCTCTGCGCTCGCTCGCTTCACAATCATCTTTGATGCTGCGCCAGTCTTCAGTCTTCTTGCTTCTGTAGGTCGCCTCCTCCGAATCCTTTACAGTCCGTTGCTATTGCACATCATGAGAATGAAGGGAATCATTGCATCTATTTGCATTTGCCCCACCAGATTGGCAAAGAACAGCTCCTCGGTCAGCTCCGATTCGAGCACGCTCAACGGTAACAGACTGGCAAAGAGGAGATTCGCGCGCTCCTCGCCACCGCCTTGGCGCCGCAGTGTGGCAAGCGCATACAGTTGCACCCGCTTGACGTAGGCGCGCAACGAACGCTCGCGTCGATTCTGCTGCAACAGCAGCGGATTGAAGAGCAACACCAGGCGGAGCAGGCCATACTCCAGATCGCTGACATCCTGCGACTGCAACTCCTGGATAAAGTCGTGCAGAGTGCGTGTGATCTGTGCGAGCTTTGCAATCTTCGCTGGCTCAATCTTATCGATGTCGGCCACCTGGCGAACACTCTGCACTAGCTGCCCAATGATGGTGGGCACAGCCAGCTGGCGTTGACACTGCGCCAGCGCCACAGCCAACAGAGCTGGCCAAGCGCCGCGCAACAGTTTCATTTGTGTGTGGGCATCGAGCAATTCAAAGGCGGGCACCTTGCGCAACGTGTGCACCGTTAGAAAGATGATGCGTGCTCCAGTCTCGCACACATAATGCATATTGAGATAGGAATGGACGAGGGCAGGTGGCTGCACATGGAAGGCAGTGCATTGTGCCTCGGCAGGGAATAGATCCTGAATGAAGATGGCCTCGTTGGCAACGAAATCACCACGATTACAATACTCGAAATCCAGTTCCATATGCTCGACGAGATCAGAAGCGTCCACATCCTCGGTTCCGCTATCCTCTGCATCCGAATCGCATTCGGGTTTAATGCTCAACGAGGAAGCAGCACCAACTGTTGCGCCACCAGCAGCTGCAATTCCAGTTGTTGTCGCTGTTCCCGTCTGTTGTTGTCCACCACTCTGAATCCTGTCCAGCTGCTGCTGTATGGGCTGCAGCAACTGGAGCGCCTTATCAATGGCTCGCTTGTCCAGCGTGCTCTGGATAAGACCCACAGTCGCCGGCGTGGGCAGCGCTGTGCTCGCATCGGAGGCAGCTGCGGCAGCAGCAGCCGCTGCAGCAGCTGCATTAAAATTCAAATGTTGAGAATTATTATTGCTGGCACTGTTGGCCAACAGCTGGAGACACAACGAGCTATTATTATCCATGGAATCATCATCGTCCTCGTCCAGCTCCGGCTTGGCCAGTTCCGGTGAGTAACAATGAGATGTGGCATTGCTGCTTGCAGCCTGCTGCTGCTGTTGGTGCTGTTGTTGCTGCTGCTGTGTGGCAAGCACTGTAATTAAAGGGAAACTTGTATAAAGGGGCATCTTTCGCAGTTTGCTGCACTTACTCAACGTTTGTGTGAGTTCCGCAAAGTTCAGGCTCATTGGGAATAGATTGTCGCTGAGGCCAAAGGGCGTTGTTGCCGCATTGTTGACGGGGGGCGTGGTCGCATGCTGGAATAGTGTTGCAGCCGCTGCAACAGATGCATGTTGCTGCTGCTGCTGCTGTTGTTGTTGCTGCTGCTGCTTTGCACGCACCTGTTGCTGATAGGCCGACTTGGCAGCCGAGGCGGAGCTGCTGCTGCTGGAGGCGCCACCACCGGTGCCCTGTGCCGAGGCTCCCGACACGCTGCCCGTTGCCCCAGAGACGCAGCCATCTTTGCGATCCACAATCGGTTTGCGTTCGTGTTGCACGGCTGCAGATGCAGGTTGGTTGGTTGCAACAAAGAGAAAAATGTAAAGCAATTAGCAAGTGCTTGCAGCGCGTCTAACGGTAAATGTGATGTGGTCGAGTTAGCATTGTGTAAGCATGAGTGTGTGCGTGTTAGTGTGTCTGTGTGTGTGTCTGTTGCGGGTAAGCAGCGGGTTGCATGCATAAGTTTATAACTAGAACACTTGTTGCTTACCACAAAAGCATGCCTTAAAAATACCATTACAGCTATCTACAGTCAAACTTGCCTATACTCAACTGTTATACAAAATGCATTATTTTTTACTATTATGTTTCTATTAATTGTTCGCAGTTTTGCGACCCATCGATTTAGTTGATATCTGTTTTTTATCTAAAAAAATAAGTATTGATTATAGCTACCAAACTTGTATATACTGCGCTTCCTAAGCATACTAATTCTATATTATTTTCTATTATTTGTTAGTAGTTTTGCGACTCATCGATTTGGTTTACACCTGCTTTTTACCTAGTTGAAAGTAAAATATTTTCAACCTGGTGGCAACGCATGCAAATGGCAGCCCTATCAAATGACAATCCAATTGGAAGCCAATTGATCAAGTTCAACTGGTTTCTGCAAACTGCCTGCCATAATTAACTAACAAGTGTTATTATCCTATAAAGCATGTGTGTGTGGATGTGTGTATGAGTGCGTGTGCAGATGTTGTTGTTTTTGTTTGTTTTTTGAGACGACGACTTAAACGAAAATTACAATCACTTCGCATGCCGCTGGCCAAACACTTTTGCAGGCGACAGAACTGACATCGGTTGCGATGATGCTTGGTCACCTCGCAGTTCATGGCGCCGCGGCACTGGTAGCCCAACTGTTTGCGTATCGAACGCTTGAAGAAACCTTTGCACCCCTCGCAGCTGATGGCACCATAATGGCGACCCGACGCCCGATCCCCGCACACCAAACACAACTCAACACCCGAGGAGAGGGTGGCAGCCGCCGCGGCGGCTGCTGCTGCGGCGGCAGCGGAACTAGCCGCATTTCCGGCTGCAACAGCAGCAGCATTATTATTGTTGCTATTGTTGTTGTTGCTGTTGTTGTTGATGTTCATTGCACGAGGCTCTGCAACTAAACAAAGGAGACAACAAATGAATTAATTAATCGTGTTGCAGCTACTTAGAAGTTGAGCCGCTTTGGTTCACCTTCGGTTTTGATGCCGCTGCTTGTGCCCATCATGAAGCCCAGTTTTACACTGCAGCCAAAACAAGTTGTTGCTTCTTTGTGCCTTTCTTATTAGAACTTGTTTCACGTAGTTTGCGCGTGTGTGTGTGTGTCTTGGGTGTGCTTGTGTGTGTGTGTGTGCGTACGTGCGCTGCTTACTTAGGCGCTTAAGAAAACCACTTGGAATTTGCTTAAGCACATTGTTTTTTATTAGCATTCAACTTCTGTTATGTTTACTTAACACTTTAACTTTTAATGTGTGTATTTTAAAAGATATGAAGCCATTTAAAATGAGCTTTTTGCGTAGGCAAAAATCTTTGACCTTTTCGGTGAATAAGTTTCAGCGAACTGGCAACGCCTCAAGACCTATTAGTGTGACCAGCCTTTATTTTGCGGCCATTCTTAGCCCATTGTCATTCGGTTGTTAATTTTGAGAAATATGTACGAATTGCGCGCTAGCTTTTAAAAAATATTCAATTTTTATTGTGATTTATAAAAATACATTGTTTTTACAATTGAAATCATCCGACAAAAATATAAAAAACATACAATTACTTATTTACTAAGGTGTTTTTCTCTTTTTTCTGTGAAATTAATTACACTTTGTTATTTTTGATTTTTGGTCTTACAATCGATTAAGCCACAAATTGCTCTCAAAAAATAGCTGATTGCATTAGAATAAGGTAAAAAAATGGAAACACGAAACGAGGGAAGCACAAAACAGACACACACATATGCACACACACATCGATGCAAACTACAGACACACACAAACACATTTGATGTACACAACTACAGATCAGCTATCGTTAGATTATTAATATCATCTACAGTCCGCTTGTGTATTATTTATTCTTTAAGCCCATTGCACGTTTGGTGGCGCGTCCCAGCAGGATGCCAGTGAGAAAGACCAAGCCCGTCACACTCATCAATATCACAAGGAAGAATTTACGTGCCGGCGATGTGACCACCTGTTGCACCAACTGCTGCATATCCTCCGGCGGCTGAGCCAGCGTATCATCCGCATTGCGAAACATTTCGATGCGCCGCTCCAGCTTCTCGCGACAGTCCGCCTCCAGTGACTTGGGCGTCTGACGCAGCAGAGTTCGCAAACAACCCAGTTCTAAATGCAAATAGTGTAAATATTATTCTTATTTATAAATCCAATTCATTTAAGAAATGCACTGATTTTCATATACTATTTTTGATTCACTGAACAAATGAACTTACTTCGTCCATCACCGCTCATGACTTTGGAGCAGTAACGCAATAAATCCACAGTGCAGGCCGTTTCCAGTATGGGATCAACATGTATATCCGCCTTGGCCTCGGCTATTAGAGAGGCCACCTCCAGCTGGCACTCGCGATTGATGAGCTGTTTCCGCAGAAAAGCAGCCTTGAGGCATTCCTCCACCTCGCCATGCTCATCGGCATTCATGTGCGTTTTACATAATTGCTGTATCTCAAATTTGCAAAAATGCTGCAGCACCGGATTCAGTTTGTAGTTTAATGCCTGCTCCTGCAGTATTTTGATCATTTCCTGAGCGCATTTATTATCCAGTTTCGATTGCCGGAATTTGTCCTTTAAGCATTTGATAACCTACCAGAGGAGATATTCAATGAAATATATATCTGAATATTTGCATATGGTAAAAGGTAAATAAGTTTTAATTACATTATTCTATTGCCAATTTGCGCTTGACATTGATTCGCTTCACTAGATGATAATCACAATTTTACAAATTAACATACATATATATATATATATATATATATATTATATATTTGAGAGATATGCATGTTTGCAGTGATAACGAAACGTAATAAACGATCGCAATTTACAATTGTTGATGGAGCACGTCTGCTGATTGCTCAGTTTATTCTCAGTCAGTCGAGTTCAGTTCAATGCGCAGACGTTTCGTATACGCAATGCTAGCTTTTGGCGGCATTTTGGGCGCTGCTCTTACCATCTGGTTGGTGATATCATTGGGCACTCAAACCGATGCAGCCGAATCAAAACTGACCGTACAATTAGCCGACGAACAGGGCGCTGTACGCGGCAATTACGGACAGACTGCATGGACGGGTCAGAGTTTTATGCAATTCCGTGGTATTCCCTATGCGGAGGCACCCATCGGAGATTTGCGATTTCGTGTGAGTTAAGAATTACTAAGCACTTTTTGTGCAGCGAGCTGATAATGAAACGTTTATGATGCTAATCACAAAATTATAGGCACCTGTTGCTCGTTGGCCTTGGACTGGGACACACGACGCTTTGGACTTTGGACAACGTTGTCCGGTGATAACCAATTTGAACGCGGGGATGCCAGACGCTCAGCTAGAGGATTGTCTAAATCTATGCGTCTACACCAAGAGCGTAAGTCAAATCAATTAATCTACACAATTTAAAAAAACAAAAAACAAACAAAGGAACATTTGCTTGAAAGATTTGGCGATTGTGATTTCGATCAGGAATTCAATACAATTTCTAAATGGGATTTTCAAGCTTGCTTTGAAAATAACAAAATTAAGTCTTAAACAAAGGAAAAAGAGGCATGCAAAATTTCAGCTGTGCAAACATATCAATGAATGAAGACAGTTTTTTCTAAGTAAATTGATATGTGACCTGAAATAAATAAACATGTTGCCCAGCAGCTGTACTCAGTCGGTTTTAGCTTTCGATCCGGGAATTTAAATTTAATGCTAAAGATTGGTTTTCTTTGCCTTTAAATTTGAAAATTTTCGAGGCATATTCGACAATTAATTTAGTTTTCCATTTTTCCATTCGAATATTGAATTCAATTGCTTAAAATTCGTTGTTATATATTTGTGTGCTGGGTGCTTTTTCCTCACAGCTGACGGCTCGCCAGCCGGTAATGTTTTATATCTATGGTGGTGGCTATTATAATGGCTCAGCGGAAGACCATCCGCCCAACTATTTGCTGGAGCGTGATATCGTTTTGGTGGTGCCGCATTATCGCATTGGCGCCCTCGGCTGGCTGTCCACATACAGCGAGGAGCTGCCTGGCAATGCGCCCATTGCCGATATACTATTAGCATTGGACTGGGTGCAGCAGCACATTCATGTCTTTGGCGGCGATCCCAGCCAGGTGACCATATTTGGCCAAAGCGCCGGAGCGGGAGTGACGAGCGCTTTACTCTTGAGTCCACGCTCCAGCGATCAGCACTTTCAGCGTGCAATTGTCCAGTCGGGTTCGATATTTGCCAGCTGGGCGATAACATCCGATCCAGCTGGGCAGGCGCATCGCATCTGCGTTGAATTGGGCTGTCAGCGCTGTGACGAGCAGCAGCAGCTATTAGCTTGTGTGCGTGCAGCATCTGTGCTGGAGCTGCTGCAGGCGACGAAAGCGGAAAGTTTTTCACCGCTTGTCGGTGATCTGCTGGGCATATTGCCGGCACAACCCGAGCAGTTGCTCAAGAATTATCAGCGTGGTGTGCCGCTGCTGACGGGCTTCACCCAGCACGATGGCTCCTTTGTGCTGGCCTGTAAGTACTCATTATCCTTATCACACTTATGCCACTGTCAACTTTATACTTTTTTACAATTTAGCGTACTACGATGGTGTGGTGGCCAAAGTGTCCAATGTGAGCGCGTTGAGCGTACGTCAATTCTCGCAGAGCATGTTGGACATGGCCCCGGATGCGACGGGACTGACAGATCAGCTACTTTATCGTTTAATGTACACGCCGCAGCTATTAAACAGTCACGATCACAAGGAAGCATTGCCCGCCTACTTCGATGTGAGTGATGATTGCGAATCGTTAAGATCAGTTAAGATAATTACTAAAACACTTCCTTAACACACAGCTCACTTCGACGCTGACGATAAAGTCACCAGTGATCAGTCTGGCCAGCAAGCTGCACACACGCCAGCCATCTGCTCCTGTCTATGTCTACAGCTTTGAGTACGAGGGTCAATATACACGCTTTGGCTATGAGTTCGGCAACGCGCATTATCCGTTCAATGGTGGCGTCCATCATTCCAATGATAATATCTATCTGTTTGCTACGCATCCGCTGACGGGCCAGGATACGCAGATGGCTGAGCAAATGGTCGAGCTGTGGACATCGTTTGCCATCAGTGGTGTGCCCAAGAATCTGAGCGCTTTAGCCAGTCCTAGTGGACCATATAATCGCCTGGCACTGCACATAAGCCAGGCTGATGATTTGCTAGAGTCGCTGACAGCCACAATTGATGATCCAGACAACGGACGCTTACAGCGTCCGCCTGTCGAGTTTTAAGATATAAAAATACACTTTTCTTTGTATATATCAATACTACATTGATAGGAAACAAGAAACCAAATGCGTTCTTGCTTTAATTTAGCTGGCTTTTAAGATGCTTGCGAATAGTTCCTATTTTTCCTTTTCAATATTTCCAACCAAATGTATTCTTATAAATTGTATAGAAATAATAAATAAATAAATGCTCACCTTGCCATTGAGTTCCTCATTTGGCTGCGCTGTGTTCACAATTTTCGAGCAGTAGAGATTGATGCTCTTGCCACAGGCATTTTGGAGCGACGGATTGAAACGAAAGTCCGTATTTTGTTCGATCATTCGATTGACGACGACAAAGTGGCAGCGCTCGTCAAAGTTTGGGTCATCCTTGTAGGTCTTGAGGCAATCCAATAGTTGCATCGATTCAGTGTTTGGGCAGAACTTGTAGACCATCTCCTTGCAGGTGTTGAGCAGTGTGTAATCGGTGCCGCTGTCACCCAGTTCCGATCTCTTGATCATAAAGATGGCATGATGACACGCCTTGCCCAGCTCCGATGTCCTCTGGATCAAACACTCCAAAGCCTGCAAAACCAACGAGTGTTTCTTTAATAAATATTTGCCAAATTCCATTCATCTTGTTAATTGTTGTTTGTGTGCTTTTTTTTGTGGAGTTGAGGTTAGCAATGATACGGATGACTTGCATTCTTATTCACCTGGCCGGGACCCTTCGCTTCCGCACAAAACTGCTTCAATTCACTCTTGCAGGCAGTGCCCAATTTGGGATCCAGTAATATACTCTCGCGCTGCTGATATAGCTGCGACTTGACCTGCTGTCTGCATTCCTTTGGTATCTGCGGACGCTGGCTGCGTATGGTATCGTTGCGCATGACCTCACTGAGGCAGGCAACCACCTCGTTCTTGGTGGCGCTTGCCGCACAGAAGCGCGACACATGCGGCCGGCACGCCTCCTTGAATTTGGTGGTGAAATGATAGCTCTTCAGCGAAATGATCTGAAAATGTTCGATGGCGGCGCGACAACCTTTGTTTAAATCAGCATCGTTCTTGTGCTTGATCAGGCAATCCATCATGTTGCCTACGAAAGAAAGGATATTTGAGTTTGAACAGTGAGAGATAGTAATCTCAATTTCCATTTACCATTGTCCTTGCCCGCTTTGAGTATATCGGAGCAGTGCTGTTGCATTGCCTCCGAGCAAGTCGACATTATAACCGGATTGAGTTCAATGTTGGCTGCCTCCTCCTCGGTATATTTGGTTACCACCGCTTTGCATTCGGGCTGCAGTTCATCCAATCGATTTTGCAGGCACTCCATTTCGGTGCCCTTCGTGGTTAGATCGCCGCAGTATTGCGACAAATCGGACAGACAATAATCTTCCACCTCGGGCATCAGATCCACGGAGATGGCACGTTGACGCATCACACGCTTCACCTCGCGAAAGCAGTCCTTGCGCAACGTTTGCTGCTCATCCTCGCTGTAGGCCATGCGATGCAGACAGGGCAGTATCATGGGACCACGCTCCGGATCCATTTGCACATCCTGTACATCGTCCCATTGTCGCTTGGCGCTACAATATTTGACGGCATCGTCGCGACAATGTTTGTACAGCTGCGGATCCAGCTTGAAGTCGCGCGCCACAAAATATTCGATAATCAGCAGCGCCTGCTCACACTCCGGCCGCATCACGGCCGTTCCAATGCGTTCCATTAAGCAGCTCATAACGCGCGCCTCGCCCCCCTCGACATCCTTGCAGGCGACGTCGACGACCTTTTTGCAGGCACGCCTCAGCACAGGATCAACACGCCAATCCTCGCCGGCATCGCTCACCTTGATGAGGGTCTCGAGACCACGTTGGCATTGCGCCGTTATCCGACGCTGCGGCCGCCGTCCACGCGCATGCTTCATCAGACAGTGGATAATTTCGCCACCAGTGCTCGATTGGCCATTTACTAGCTGTGCCTCATCCGGACAGAATTTGGGTATGTCATCGGCACAATCGCTGAGCAATTCCGGCGATAGTTGATAGTCGGTCATCAGCATGCGACGATGATCATTTAGCTCCACGAGGCATTCAGACGCCAATTTGGTGCCGTTCTTCGAGACGGACTCGAGGCACAACAAAATTTGCGCCAATCGCACCTGTTTATCCTCGGAGACGCCGCGTCGGCAGTGATGTAGTTTGATGTCATCCTTGCACGCCTTGGCCAGGCCATGCGACACTCGATAATCGCGTCCCAATTGCTGATCCCGGCTCGTTATCTGCGCCGCACACTGGCTGCTCAGCTTCGGATCGCTCTTGTGCCGCACCAGACACTTGTAGGCAGCTGCCGTGCCCATGCGTTCCTGCCAAATGAGTAAAGGATTAGAAGCAGATTGAAAGGACTATGTTCAGCGCTACTTACTTGTGGACAGACCGCTATCAAATCGTTGGAACAAACTCGAAACAACTCCAGCATGCCACGTTGCTGCTCGATGGTATTGATGGCCACCTTGCAGCTCATCTCGATGGGCGCTTTTTGGTTGAACATCGCCTGTGCCTTTAGACATTGGGCTGTGCCCAATTGGGAGAGCAGCGCTGGCAAATGATCCACATTCATGCGTCCGCATTTATGTTGCTCGACCAAGTTGCCACATACCGCATAGAATTCCCCAATGCTGGCATAGTCCTCGCCAAGCATCTCGTGCACCCGTCGCAGCTGCTGCCGGCAGCTGTTGCCCTTTGGCATTTGCTGACGATTATCCTCGAGGCAGCTCCACAGATCGATGGAGTTGAGGCACCCAGACAACTTCACCTGCTCGCTGGCACAATAGCTGGGCAGCAGTGTGTGCTCCACCCAATGGCTTGACTGCAATTGACGCTGCTGCTGCCATAGTGCATGCTGGCATGGCTCCGGCAGCGCCTTCAACTGGCTGGAGGTCAAACTCAAGGCACACTCGAGCATGGCCAAATTGTCGGTGGTCTTCTGGTGTGTGCAATCTTTGCGCAAATCCTGGCACTCAGCCAAATCAATAATGCTGTCCAGCTGCCTATTGTCCACACCCATGTCAATGGTGGCACGGCGTAAACGAACCTTTGCGATGGAGCTGAAGTTGAAGGCATCATTGCCGGTTGCTGCCCATAGCCACGACAACAAAGACAGCGACAACAACAAGTGCGAATTGAACTTCATTTTTGGTTTAAACTGTGCAAGTTGTGATGCAAGTCCGATGGTCAATCGTAACTGAACATTTAAGCACACTCACGCACACACTTGCATCAATATTTCTATGTATGTATCTCAATATTTAATATCAATTCGTTACACGTTTCCCTCTGCACCCAAAGAGTTCTCACAGTGCAAGCACGAAAACGAAAAAAAAAAATAACAAAAGGCCGGTGGAAAATGCTGCGTTTTCTTATGTTCTTGTCATGTTGTGCGGCAGTCACTGCAATGATTCTTGGTTGACCCAGTTATTGTAATTTATACTTAAGCAGCAAATAAAATGCAAATATCAGCACTATATCAACTATTAGCGTACTTCGTTTCTTTTTATTTTAATACCAAATCTTCTAAAACCAACAGCTGCATACCATGACATTTAGAACCAATTTTACGTTTATCGATTGTACTCCTATTATCGAATATGTATAGAGCAGCGGCTACTCGTGACGTCATTCAACGCTCATGCTATGCGGATAATTTAAGAGTTCTTAGATTTGTTGTGTTTATTATTAATAACATTCAACGGAAATGGTTTAATTAATAATCACTATAAGTTGTATTTTACATTGACATTTTATTGTTATCTTGTTATGAGCGCCGTCATCTTTTCTCGTTGATATACTGCTGGAATTTTGGATATTCTTGCTTGCGGCTCGAGCTGTTGGTTATGTTGCGCGTTCCTTAGGCAGAATTGTGTATATTCAGCCGAAATATGTCGTGAGCAACAAAGAAGCTGCCGGCATTGGCTTTCAGCAAAAACACTTGCGAATAGGAGTGTGGTGGATCCTCGTCGCACTGTAGGCGTCCCAGCACATTAATTAGCACGCCACCATCGAACGTCGGCTGCGAGTCGATTGTGGTAATTATCCGATTGATCTTTTGAAAACTGAGGCTCTGCACTTTTTCAAGAATTTTTGGCGCTCCTTGTATTTGATGTCCCTCGAAGGTCATGAATGAATCTGTAGTGCTGTAGAAATTAACCACATTGGCACGGTTCGCCGGATCGTCAAAGATGGCATAATATTGCTGGACAAAACCTTTGCCAACGGCCTCGTATTGTGGATTTATTGCCATGTGGAGATTCTCAGATTCTTTTTGGAACTGCTGCAAATATATGTTTATTAAATATCGATATATAAATGTTTGGCAATGTCATTTTATGTGTTGTTCAACATCGATATTTGTATGACATATTCATATCGATACTTACTGCCGCTTAACTTTACTAAAAATGAATGTGTTCAATTAGTTGTACCACAAGAGGGCACTACATGCAAACAAACAAAATTTTACAAGTGTATATCATTAAAATAGATATTTCATGGCTAAATATCCAGAGCAAATTATCTGAATTAATTTTACTTGCGCAGCATCTGCATTCTAACTGCAACAGTTTTTGTACTTTTTCACAAACTGTATTATAATGTAATGCAAATTACCGTTGTGTAGTACTGTTCCCAAAATTCAAACTCAAATCAAACAAATCAAATTTTAATTTTATTAACAAAATTTACCGTTACAACAATAAAAGGGTTGGTAAACAGCGTAAAGCATAGTCCGTCTATCGTTATCGAGCGCACGTGCCTTGTCTTATCGATACCGATAGCGTGCCTTCCTCCCGGTATGATATTGGAATGTAAATATAAAAAGATTCTGTTAGTTATTATTATTATTTTTGTTAGCACAGAATGTCTAGGGCAAAAGATAGCAAAATGACAAAAACTGAGACTGACTCCGATGACGATGATGACCTACAAATGAGGATGCTCTTAGAAGCCGCCGATCCCACGCTCCTCACAAATGATATGTTCAAAAAACCAAAGACACAAACTCAGCCATCGACAACCATTCAATTGGATTCAACAGAAATGGGGACTGCAAGGAAAATGCCTAAAACTGAACGGTACCTGGATGAGCAGTCTGTTGCAGCTGCCAGCGATCTGCAGGTCAGCAAGGAAATGCAGACACACATTTGGGGGAAACTAAGCGCAATTATTCAAAACCAAATAGAATTTTGTGAGCCCAAGCAGCAAATCCACTGTGAATCACAAGAAAAACAGTTAACTTGGACCAATCAAGTGAAACTAGTTGCCAATGCCGATTGCTATATCGTTGATACCATCGAGGAGGAAGCACTGCCGCGAAAGAAACCCACAATCAAGAGGCGACTACCGGACGAAGAGAAGCCATTGACAAGAGCTGTTGCAGTGGCAGCAGTTGCCGTCAGCGGCGAATCCATACTGAACGGCAAGGATATGAAATACTGGGCTGAGACACGTAAATCCCGCAAAGACAAACTCTACAAATACAAGGCAGGTGTCGGGCGGGGTAACATTCTCACCCTCATCGAGGACAGACGCGATCCGTGAAGTTCGACTCCAAGATTACAAAATAAAATAACAAAAAATTAGCTCAAATATTTATTTATTCTATACTTGTAAGATTATGATTAAAGTTATGTAAATATAGAGCCCACTTGGCCACATGTCTGCTCTAAACGAGATTGAAGCTTTTGACCATTGACCAAGTGTAGTTGATTTGTAATTTAAACTGAGACAATAGAATAACTTAAGTATCTAAATTATTCTGGTAGTTGGTCGACGAAGTGGCCAAATTGGAGCTGGTATTGCCCGTTTGGCCATCGAGCAGGCCGTACAGCACTTGCTGCTGGCTATTGGCCACGTTGCTGAGGGATATGCCTCCAGCATCTGTGCTGCCGCCCTGCAGTTCTTGCAGCATGTCGCCAACAATGTTGCTCATGCTATTGCTGCCGGCGGCACTGCTGCTATTGTTATCATCGCCCTGCTGCATCTCGAGTATGTTGAGGAATTCGTGACGATTGAATTCGTGTTGTTGTTGCTGTTCCTGTTCCTCCAGTTGCTGCTTCTGCATGCTGCTCTGGCTCTCCTTCATCAGCTTATCGTACTCCTGCAGTACACTGTCGAATTCGGCGATTTCGGTGCGATTGCGCGCTATAACCTTGTGCTTGTAGTAGTTGTGCACCTGCGTCAGGGATGTGCCCGTCTTGCTGACGTATGCCTGCTCGAGTGGCACAAGTTGCAACGTTGTCATCTTTTTTAGCTTGCTATCCATATCATAAAAGCTGCGATATTTTGCGATAAGGCTGCGCAAAAATGATTCAGCCGCATCAGTCAGTAGGATAACGGCGGCCTCAGAGCAGTCGGTGAATCCAGCCAGTCGCAGTAGGCCGCACATGGCTTTTCGCATCGCATGCCGGCACATGTTGCTGGATAACTCGGGATAGGATTGGGGATCGCCGCGGGAATATGCCGTGTCCACTGTTGGTATGAACCATATAGGTTTCTGAAACTTTTGCTCGCTGACCAAATCGGCGGCATTCTCCGGCGGAAAGTCCACCTCAGGTATCATTTGGCACGGATTCAAAAGGTAGTTCGAGGATCCCTTAAAATGTGAATACAGTTAATAACCATTGTTCATTTTGTCCAGCAGCATTATGATTAGGCTAACATTTGTGTTGGAGTAGGTATCGATTAGGGATTGAAGCACTTCAGTTTGTTTCATCACTTCGATGGTTTGCGTGACCAGGGAGCTCTTCAGTTCCATTTTGTCGCTATTTAAAATGTTGTACACATACAAATATGATGAAATTCAAATCGCATCGGCAAAATAGTCTAGTGTACTCACTGCTTATCCATAGGCATCGGATCTCCTTGTTGCCGTATCTCATCGAGTTTTCGCTTCTTGGCGTAAGTGGACACATAGTTGTCCGGCGTAAGCGCATTGCTCTCCTCCTCTATTTCGCCCCAGTATTCTCTTTGAATCTTTTGCATTGTGTTTAATTCATCTACTGCTGTTTAATACAGAAGTTTCTTTAGATACACAAGCTTCTTGGACAAATATAAATATCGATATTTTATTGTGATATTTCTTATCGATGATATATCGGTATTTGCCGCTTAATATTATCTCAAATGATTATACATCAATTAAATATACTAGAAGAGGGCACAACTGCATGCAAACCAAATAAATTAAAATGAGGAATTTCATCTAATTGTGTTGGCATATTGTGTATTTGATTTTTGTTTTGGTTTATCGTTTTAGCATTTTCATAACATACATATTTTCGTTAATTTCGAGGGATATTGGTAACTAGTTTTAAGTTAATTGGTAACAGTTTGCTTATTCAGATAGCCCATCAATGCCTGCAGACGCTTCTTAATGTTCTTCTGATCATCCAGAGTGCAACCAAGGAGGGCACTCTCAAATTTCTTATCTATCGGACCCACATCCGCTTCAAGCACGGTACCCAGACGGCCACTGGGATCCATGGTGCTGCTGCAGCAGGCATTTAAATATATCTGGCAACGCTGACGGCTAATGACCGGATCACCCATTTTGATCATTGTATCGATTAGGGCATTAATCTGACTAAGTGAATCCTCCTGAGAATTGTCCCTCACGGTGCGCACATTCAGCTCAACAGTGCCAAGGCGAGCACTAACCCGCTGAATGTACAACATAATCTCTTCGCGCTCGGCTGCGTCACAAATTAAAGTAAATGATGATTTATAAACGTTTAAATGTTCTGTATTAAGGGTCTTATTATTACCATCGCTCATATTTTGCAGCATTTCGTTGCTCTTGATGAGATCCATGGACATTAAGAGGTAGTCTTTCTTCTCCTGTAAATTGAGCGCATCCTTGCGAAACTTCTCCACACGGGCATCCAACTGATCGAGTATGGTTACAAATCTGTAAATGGACATATCACATTTATTTATGCTAGAGACAATTGTTATATTTCATGTGATTTTACCGTTCGTTCGCATTGCAAGGTCTACCAAATGTTGTTTTATTAATAGAAATTGTTGTTGGTGTTGTTGGTTTTGATGGTAATATGAAAAGAGAGAAGCAAAGTTGATTGTTACGCTGTTGTTAGGCTGTCAGCTTATATAGAAACTTAATAATACTCAAGTGGCACTCACACAACGTTTATTTTTTTTCTTTTCATTTTTACTTCTTTTTTTGGACATTGTGTGGGCGCCACTCAAAACAGATTTAAGCTACCACCACTATTATTATAATGAAGCTATACGAATGTAAAAAATAATGATATGCAACTTAGTTTACTAAATATAAGATAGCAGATAATAACTAAAGGCGACAAATTATAAAATAGTTTTTTTTTACGAGAGTGGCTCTCAATTAATTTTTTTTTTTTGTGTGTTCTCTAGTAGTTTTTTTTGTATGAAGTTTGGAATAACAACCTGTCCAGCGCTCTACTGTCGTCGACAAGTCCATACGAGTTACTGCCACTGGGTGAGGATGAGGATGTTGATGCTGCCGCTGCATCCGCATGCAGACCATGTAAATAATCAAAATTCATTGATGCTTCCGAATGATAAATGTGCGAACTGTTGTTGCTGTTGTTCTGATGGTGTTGATGATGCTGCTGATGATGGTTGTTGCCGTCGCTGTGCTCCTGCATGCCATGCACGAATGGAGCATCAATGTCCATATCCTGCGGCTGATCCAGTGTGCCACTCAAATCTCCTGCTGTCCCAGCGTATTTCAAAATTTGACTATGCTTATATTCCTTGTTCTTTGTTACAGTTTTCAAAGTGCGCGCTTTTTTGTACAAACTGGATCTTGAAAGTATTTTTCGTTTTTTGTGGTAGCCTGTTGGCTATTTTGGAATGTGTTAAGCTTTTTTGTTTCTTTTTTTGGCGTGGGTGCTTGTTGCTCTTTGTCTGATGTGCTTAAATTGTTTATATGATAGTTACACACACGCACACACACATACACTCACACTCACCAGCTGCAATAAGAGAGAGGGAGAGAGAACAAAGAGAAGGTTTATTTAGCTATTAATTACCTATCGATTTGTGTGCTGTTTTTATATGCGCCAGCTGTCCAATCGGCTGGATGCGCATAATTCTCATCATCAGTGTACTCTTCCTCATCATTGTCGCTCTCGCAATTGGTGCTGGGATGAGGAGGCATTTGCTCATCGCAGCGTCGACGCTTACGGAAAATGCCGAGCAAATTTTCAAACATATTTGTTTCTTACGCACGCACACACACACACACACACAAACACACACTCGTAAACAACAACAAAATTGACACTTATATTATTGCGCTATTAGAGCAAAATCAATTGTTTGTTGACGATGTGCGTAGAAAATTCTAGCAATTTCTAGCTTCTCTGAAATTGTGGAACTTTTGGTCAAGAAATGTGGCAGCAGAAAATTTACCTTTAGCAGTAGCTGATGTCAAGTTAACTAATCAAATTTATTATTGATTCTGTATGTTTTTTATTACTAAATTGTGTTTAATTTATGTTTACTTTGTTTCGTAAAACTTGCATGCTGAGTTTAAGTTTAAGAACATATTTGTGCTGTGTTCTTCATTATAGTAAGCGCGCGCCTTATTTATATATTTATTTGTTCCTTATAATTTAGTTTCGAAGCACAATTTATAATTTTTATTAACAAATTTCGTGTAAACAGTGGCCTGACCACCAGTGGGCCCGTATGATAGATATTTCGGTATTTTATGGCATGACATCACGACAGTAGTATCGAGAAACGATATTTTGACTGAAACTTAGTTCCGATTATTTAGTACCGATACGGTCACTTTCTTTTACATTGGCAACAATCGATATCGATTATCTTATTACTAATAACGCGGAAAATTCAAATCACGCACACACCTCGCCGTGCGTGACCATTTGCAGGACATGGTAATCATATCGAAATAGTAATAAAACGGGCACTGTTGCAACGTGGCATGACCCTTGACACAATAAATGAAAAACTCACAACGCTGCATATGCGGATAAAGATGCTGTCCATGGGCCGGGCAATGTGCCCAATATTTTCCTCGAGCGTACATTGCGCGCGCTCTGGTAAATCACATTTGGCTGTCACAGCATTCCAGTGCAACTCCCGACTGCACTCTTGCAGTATAGCCCGTCCATAATAGCAAATGTAGTAATGATTACATTTGCTCGAGCTGCCAATATACACGATGCGATCATTGGCCCCCGTCAGTGGCGTTATTGTGGCACAATATGTCGCCGCGTCCGTGACCATGTTGTTCAACTCATTGTCGCTGTCGAGTGGCGGTTTGCTGATGCCGCCACTGCCAATGTCGCTGCCAATGCTGCATTTAGCATTTTCAGACGTATCACAAATTCGATTCACCTTGTTGTAGAACATGTTCGATGGACACGAGGCCAGCACGGCATCCCCGTTTTCCTGGCACAAATAGAACAACCGACAATCAGTCGGATGCTCCACAAAACTACCACTTGCATGATTCACGCACAGGCCAAGAGCACTTTGTCGTATTGTGACCGAATTGGTAGGTTTGTGCATCCATTTCGCTTGGGACGCTATCAGCGTACTTCTAAGTAGCAGCCACAAGAATACTGCAAATAAAAGTATTTATCAGAGACGTTAATATTGGCAGAAATGTTGCAGGATCAACATACGTGAAATTTTACTGTTCTTAGCCATTTTTCTATGTGTGTCAGAGCGCAGTAGAGCGCAATTTTATTCTAATTTCGTAATGAGCAAAGAACTTGGCATATATGCGAGTCAGAATAGTAGCAACAATAGTATCAGAAAATTAACATTCTTCTTGCGTGTCAACGCTTTGATAAGGCCTTCAACCAAAACAATCGTTGCCGGCAATTTTTTCTGCACTACTTTATTTTCAGCCACAATCGATCGACATATTGATTCCACAATTAACACTCCGGAGTCACATCTTAGCTGGAGTGAAAAGGAGGAGCACGTTATTAATGCTACAATGTCGATAAAAAAAAACTAAAAAAAAGTTTTCGATTTGAGATTAGCTACAAGAGATTGTGCACACGCTAATTAAAAACCCAATTAATTATGTTATGCTCTACGTTAGATAGATAGAGACGTATGTACATACAAACATATGTGTCCTTGGTTAGACAACTACCATATCGGTCAATGGGTTTCTCGTCTTGTTTAGTATACTTTCAGATAGCTGGCCCATTTCTTCTGAAACTTCTGAAAACTTCTTGTTGTTTCCAGCACTGATTCAACAGTTTGGTTGTGGTAAAAAAGATAATTAATGACCTTGAGTTCTGGATAACAGAACTTTAACTGCAATTTAATAACGGATTGTGAAATAACAACTGATTTCTCGAGAATTTATCAAAGTAAATGTTTATGAAAACACCATTAATAATTATTGCAAAGTGTTAAGTTATTAGAAATTGACTTCCGATAAAGTTTCGTAGGCAATTAAATTGTAAGAAATAGGAATATTATGAAATCAGATAATACATTAATAATTAGGTAATACAAATATGATTAATTGATTACTTTTAAAAGCTGTCGTAATTTAAATGTAAATTTTCAGTTTTAAATATTACTATTTTGCATATTTATTTGCATATTTAGTTTCTTTTGTTAAATTTATTTTTAAAATGTTTTATTATTCAATCTATTCAGTATTTGTGGTTTACACCCAAGAAATTAGGTTGAAATCATAAAAGTTCATTAAAAAAAAAAATTGCTATTAAATATATTTTTATAGTTGTCCGAAGGCAACTTTATTGATTCCATTTTCAATTAGAAATCTCAAAATTTGTAAAGAAAATAAATGAATAAACAGTGCAATTTTTTGAAAAATGATTTTTATTTAAATTAAATTAGATTAAATTAGTTTTCATAGTCGATGTCAGTCGGTAGCACTTGGCCCGACTGATCGCCACACAGGAGCGCTTCTCGTAATCCCAGCCGTAGAAAAATGGACACTGCTGCAACATTAGGAATCCATTGCGGCAATAGTAGAAATAGTTGCAATTATCTGGATGCGGATAGATGTCAACGGTATGCGATTTACATTGCTCCCGTACGCTAATCGTGGATCTCTGAAAAGCACAAATTCATAAAGTTTCGATATAGTCATCTATGGTAGATGTAGTTTATATATCATTGTTTTACTCACCATACAGTTGACAACTTCAGCTCTATCGCATTTGCCAGTTTTGGAATTAAAATGCAAGTTGGCGGCACAATTCATTGGCAGCGGTTTACCATGATAGCATATCGAATACTCGGTGCAGGATTTATCATTGCCCAGCAGCACAATTTGATTTTGGTTGTCTGTGGCTGGACAATAATTGGCCACAATGGTTACCACTCTATTGGGTAAATTGGCAGGAGTTGTGACCTCCAATGCAAACACCTCTGCCACAGTATCGCTGATTACATTGACAGTCGTCGAACTGACGATTGTTTCTTGCGTCTGCTGCTGCTGCTGCTGTGTCTGCTGCTGCTGCTGCGTATTCAGCGGCAATCCGGTGCGACAATCCACATCTTGCATGGGCTCACACATTGCCAGTTGAGCGTTGAAGAAATCATTCTCCTCCGGACATACACTTTCAAAGGAATCCTCGCCACTGCAAAAGATGAAATGAACGCAGCTTTTGTTGGATGCAATAAATATATCATTGCCGCCAGCCTGGTTGCATTCCTCAAAGACATCGGCCAGCGAAGGATGCCAGATGTTGACCATCATTATCAGCAGCATCAGCAGCAGGCCATTGTTCTTTACGATGGTATTCAGCATGTTCTCTCAATCGTTGTCAATGGGCGACTAAATAACTTGGCTGTGTTACAGAAGCGTTTTAAATGATTCTCACCAGCCGTTTGGCTTATCATCAAATATTCATTAGAACATGTCATGCAAAACTCCGCTGTTGATTGTCAGGCAAACTTTATTATTACTTCGGCTGCTTAAAGATAAGGGTTTGTGCCGATGCATTTACTCAGTGACTCATCGAAATGAAAATGCTGCGGGCATTGCTGCAAAAGTAAATACCCCGAAATGCACTGATAATAATAGTTATCGTTTGCTGGATAAGGATAGACACCATCTCGACCACTCCTGCGGCAAATGATTTGCAGATTGTTGCTGCTGACTGTGGTGCTGCTGGCTGCTGTTGAAGTGGTACTGGGTGTTGGAGTGGTGGTGCTGCTGCTGCTGCTACTGCTACTGCTTGCTTCAAATGTGCTGGTCGGATTTGGATCGGTTTGCTGCGGCTGCTCTGTTGCCACAGTGGTAATAGTGGTGCTAGTTGTGGTGGTGCTCTGTGCAGCCTGTGCTGTGGTTTCATTCGCATCATTACAGCTAACGGGCTCGATGCATTCATCGTTACAATAATAGGAATCATCGCCATTGCAAAAGACATATTCGCTGCACTCGGGATTTGGATTCGGCACGCGACTGATGATGACACCTTCGCACTCCTGCAGGAATGCCGCCTGATTGAGCGGCAGACAGCAGCCAATTACAATTAGCAGTTTCAACATAAAATTACTTGGCCTCGACGATAACTGTTGGCGAAGACACCAAAAGACGTGTGCTTTATAGGCGCATTCGGCTCATGTACTACGATAAGGCAGTTAGCTCATATTTTTTTATTTGTTACAATACAGTTTAACACAACATAGTTCTTAATTAAAAAAATATGTTCTTTTTTATTGCCTACAATCCGGTATGTCAGCGATGCGTCCACTGCAGGTGCCATTTGGCTCATTGAACGCATAACCAATGGGACACTGTTCGACAATCAGAAAACCATCCATACAATAATAGTAATAGTTGCAATTGCCGGGATATTTGTACTTTTGGGTAACACCATGTCGACACAATGACCGCACATCCGTTGTGGCGGAAATTGTGGTGGTTAAGGGTGTATCTGTGGTGTTGGTGCTGGTGCTGATGCTGGTGCTAATTGTACTCCGACCCGAAGTAATTGATGAAGCTGTTGTGCTTGCGATTTGTCCATCACAGGTGAAGTCTGCATCACACCAATCTGTCCTATCACAGAACATAGAATTCACGCCATCGCAATAGATTAAGCTATGCGCGCATTGCGTCTGTGGGTTATCAATAAATTCTCCATCTGCTATATCATTACAATCGGCAATGTTCACGGCACCGACGCTGGCGCTACCGATGACGATGAGGATGACGATGATGACGGGCAGGATGTCAATGCGTATAGACTGTCTCATTTTGTGCGGCTCAATTGTGTTGTGCTTAGGTTTTTATATATTTTCCAATAACCGTTTTTTGTCAAATAAAATGTTGCATTTAATTAAACGAGACATGTTTCTGTGTATTGGGCTTATCATTAACTAGGGCGCTTATCACTTAAAAAAGTACAACAATATAACAACAAGCTATGTGTTTGTCGATAGGGCTTTATGTTGCTTAATTTGAGGAAATTCCCAATGGTGGATAGGGCTGGTGGTGCTACGCCCGCCTTGAGTTCCCATAGCATTTGGCCACATTTAGTTGCACACAGCTGCGCCGCTCAATGTCCCAGCCATAGTAGAAGGGACACTGTTGCAGCGTCAGGAATCCCTTGATGCAATAGTAGAAATAGCTGCACTTGTCCGGATGTGGAAAGAAATCGGTTATGTGTGGCAAGCACTTGTGCGCCGACGGTTCATCCAGCTGCAAGAAAGGCCAACAAATTAAAAACTGTGCTGCATGAAACAAACCACAAATAAAAATAAATGAAACACTTACCGGACAGTGAACATTCTCGGGATAATCACATTGTCCTGTAAGCCCATTGAAATGCAGCTGGTTGGTGCAATGCATTTCGATGGCATGACCATGATAGCATAGATAGTAATCCGCGCATGATGCATTGTTGGCCATAAATATCACCTGGCTGGGATCATCACTATTCGGACAATTGGGCTTGACGACTGGCGCTGTATTTACAATTTCCACATCAGTGGGCTGCTCCATAACAGGTGGCGTTGGTTCTGGTTCGGGTTCCTCTTCGACGGATGGCTCATCGACCTCATCGAGAAAGCATTTCACATTGGCCGCATCATCGCACGATGATGTTTCCGGATCAAAGTATTGGCCCTCATCGCATTCACCCAACATGGACTCGTCGCCATCACAATACACATACGATTGACAACTCTGCCAACTGGATACAAAACTTTCCGATTCGACATCTTCGCATTCCTCGAAAATATCACCATGGCACACGGTAAATACTAGAAATAAAAACACCAACGATTTCTTATACATTTTTGACTTCGACTTTGAATTGATTCTCACAAACTGATGTTGTCCCGTTACAATTGCGCTGAATTTATGGGCTCGAATATCGGTGTCAGAACTTCCGAAAAATTTGGAGAAACATGTATTTCTTTTTAGTCTAATTGCATATTGCTTATCAGCATGGCCAACGACTTGTTTGGCATATTGATATGATACAGCTTGTTATTGTTGTGTGATTCATGGACAGATGGACAGGCAGACAGCATCCACATTCTCAAAATTTCCAGCTTGTGGATATTATGTCATCAGTTGCGTCGTGAATAGTTTGACATTACAGCAGGCAACACACATCGATGGTCCAGCGACTCTTCAGTTCGTGTTGTTTGCATAAGCCAAAAGCTAGGGCTTTTAATTAATATTCAATATATGCTCACCGAGTGTTTTTATTTTTTATTTTTATTTTTATATTTTGACCAATAGCCACAGTCGAAAAAGCGTGAAAAGGCAATAGCAGCAGCAGCAGCAACAGCAGAAAGACAACGCATAAGAAATCATTGACCTCAACCGCACCGCATTTTGGCCGTATTTTGCTTATGGAGCCCGAAGACATCAGCGTAGTGGCTAAAAAAAAAAAATAAAATAAAAAACAAAACAAACCAAAAAAAAACGTGCCCCATGATATATATACACATATATATTTCGCTACAGGTGCGCTCAATGGGAATAACGATTCGATTAATCAGCTTGATACACTAACAACTCATAGTTATAATATTATAAAATAGTCTGCGATCGGCTATATATAGTTATAAAACATATCTCAATTTAATAGACAAATTATGGTAAATATTGGACACAAATATTTGGAAGCGTTGCATTTGTAACAAAAACGATCTGCAGACTGCACTTGGGTAGAAATTGGAAACTTCCAACCAAATCTGTTATAGATGAGAAGGGATCACAACTAATCCTTAGAATATGATGTATTTTAATTTTGTTTAATTCATTATTTTGTAAGCTATGTATATAAATTTGTACTTTTTTTTTGAGTTTTTTTTCACATAATTATGAAATAATCTTTGAGTGAAAATAAGTCAGTTTGTTTCTTTTAAGTTCAAACATTAACTAACAGTTTGGTATTTTTATTTTGCCCAAAATCTCTTTCTTTCTGATTAAATAAGCTGAAAGTGACTGTATTGGAGAATTAATATTTCGCTGGAATTATTTCATTTCCATAAATATCTTTGAAGATGATTTTAAGCGCGATCGCATGAAAACAATCCAACTCTCATTTAACCGATTTCAAGGAGTTGAGTTGTTATCGCTAAAATTAAATAAACTTAATAAATAGTATAGTATCTAGACAAACGTACATGGCGAGATAAACTCGACTATTGATTCTAATGGAGAATATCATTAGGGTAGCCAGATAAGGGCAGGGGTAGACTAAATTACCATTCAGCCTCTTTATGGAAAAATAAATATTTATAAACAATTGATGGGGTCGAAGATGTGTCCTTCTGCCTAATAAAAATATCAGCTCTTTCTATCCTATGGCTGGTGGAAATTGCTGATCAGCTATCAGGTCAAACGTAGGGCGTTCAGAATGCGTTGCAACTTGGCTAAATTCCTGGTTGGCTTTTGGCTATGATATAAATCACACATCACTTGTGCGACTGGCTCTTTTGCACTATCATGTGGTTGGGGCCAAACAACGCTAGAGTGGATCGCATACGGTTTATTTGTATTCCTATTTGAAGTTTTGCACAAAATCTAATTTATTGTCAAGCATTTGGCCAATACGACAACGATAAGACAAGCCAGGTGCTGACTTTATCAGAGCTATGCACCTGTAAGCCAGAAAGAAATGAAGAAAAACAAAAGAAAGAGATGAAAAATTAAAAAAAAAACAGAAACAACAACGAGACAAACAAAAGTGGGGTGGTTTGGGGCAAACCGTTTCTTATATTTGTTTAAACAAGTGCAAACGTAACCAATTTCATTTCGTTTTGTTCTTTAAAGACGATTGCGCTTATAAGCGATATTTGCAGGTACTAAATGCATTGACAGCTGGACGGATTGACAGATGGACAAATGACACGATCGAAGTCGCATACAGAAGTCGGCTCAATGCACACGCTTTGTGGACTCAGTTGCAAAGACAAACGACGGAGGGACAGAGACGGACAGGGAGGGACAGCAAGACGGACAAGACGAGCAGACGGCGACGTCGGCAATATGTCTGCCGGTGCGGATCTGTTTGTATGTTTACACAAGCACAGGTATATATATACACACACACACACTCACACACACACACATAGATCGATCAGTGAACTGTGTGTTTAATTTACAATACACATGTACCATTTATTTACAAGCATGTGTTAATTTCATTGTACAGCTTTCAAGACATTTATATTAAGCCAGCCGAAACAAAAAACAAGTGCCAGATATTATGTATGTACAATCCAATATATATATATACACATATATAATATTATGTACTATATATATATATGTACAGCATACCTGAATACTGACAATGACAATGGCTTTAAAAGTCCTGAGGGAGACAATATTATTATTATATTTATTTTTGGGTTGTAATGAAGTCATTCTTATAATTGTATTATTTTGAACAAAAGACGCAGTAAGTGTAAAATGACTTTTTCGAGTCAACGAAGATTTAATACACTTGTATAAATATATATATATACAGCTATAGACATGCAAATAGAACAGATAAAATATACAAATTTTAATAAAATAATAATGATAAAGAACGCAATATTTGTGTCATTCTTTCGCCTTGTTAGTTTAATTAACTAACACAGAGCCGAATTCAGCTTAATCGAGTTCTAAATGAAATGAAATAAAATTTGGAAAAAAAGGTGCTTTAGTAATGTGCTCTATTATTTACATATATATTTATTCTTGATCAGCATCTCTTTCGATATAAGTCGATATAACTTTGTGCAAGGGAAGCAGCTCCAATTTTAGATTAATGTGAAAGCTAATACTGCCAAATTCCCCTTTACAATGTGATAATGAAGCAACAATGTTGTATGTATATATATATGACATATATATATATATATATTTTCATACATATATCAAATGTATGCCATATTTTTGTTGTCATTTCATTATTGTTAATTAGTTGTCAAAGAAGACGGAATTTAAATAATAAAGTTTAGATAAATGACGAATCTTTATGCGCCTGATGTAGGCCAAACTGATATCTTTTGTTGCTATATGTACCTATATATATATATATATATATATGTATGTATTTAATCAGCTATTTATTCACACCTGCTTCAGCCACAACCACAAACAACATCTTGGGGTAAGCAATATGAACATAAACAGATGCACATATTTTTAGCTGCCACATGTTCTTATGCATTATTTTCTTCATCGTTTTTTTATTTGTTATACGCTGAACCCCATTAAAAATTGGCAGAAAGGGTATATATATACCCATTAGGTATATAAATGCTCGATCAGCATCAACAATCGAGTGTGTTTAGACATAAATCGCTTTCTCAGAGACTAAAAGAGCTAAACACATCCAATTTGGCACATAAGTTTAAATGTTATCGACAACTTACCAAATTTGCTCAATACCAATAGAAATCGATCACCGATACCACCGATAATCTTAAAGACATATTTCTTAAATCCGATTTTCACATACCTTGATCAGCTGTAATAGTTTCATCAATTTCTATTGAGAAATAAGTCACGAATCGTATAGTTTTATGTACAGCAACAGTCGCAAACATTTTCTGGACAGACTTGTGTTACAGGGTATCTCGAAGTCGAACTCTCCCGACTAGAACATTCTTGGTTCTATTTCAGGCACAGCAAATAATACAACAAAAAAAAAAGTCGCACAAACACAGCTGCTTTTCATGAAATTAATTATAGTCATTGAACAAAAAGGTATTGTTTAATGTGCAGTTCAAATGTTCTTCAATTGTATCTATGGAATACATTGGGACCAAAATAACCTTATCATAATTTTGTGCAATACTTGCGGCAACTAATTACCCGCAATGAGTTGTTTTTCTTTTTTTTTTACCAAAAAAAACCCATTCTCTTAACATCTCCACTATGTGTGTCAGGCAAATTTATGCGAAAAAATAAAAACCGTTTTAGGTAAGCAAGCCCCGCTGTGAATTGCTAATGAGACCCTAAGGAATTTTTGGTTCCGAATGGTTTATGTTTTAAAAAAAATCAATTTGCAGTCCTTTGTGGAATCTATCTTATCATAGAACCAGAGAAATTAAAGAACGATTCAAGTTACATCGTTGCTTCAGTTTTTTTTCTTCAGATAGTACAATTTATGGATGATTATAAAGAAAGAACTAAGAAATACCATTGGCGGCAATGATAGGCAATTATATTTATGGAAAAAAAATAGCTGTATAATATAATAATATTCTATTAACTATCATAGAGGAAGTCATTAAATGATCAAATAAAACAAAATCTAATCAAAAGGCGCTAGGCATAATGCTAAATTATATATTTTTTTAAATAAATAGCTAAAGTACAGATTAAAATGTTGATGCAGATAAACAACAAACACACACACATATATATTTATATATATATATACAAATTGCAAGCAACGAGGCAGCAGACCAGCAGACACCGACACCTAAATAGCAATAACAATAACAACAACAGTCACTGGCACGTAATGTATCTTGTTTTTCAGTGAAACCCAAACACACACACAACACACTCCCATACACACACACACACACACACCCATATAGGAGCTACGGCTTTTTGTTGTGATTCACAAATCAAATAATATAAAATAATAATAATAAAAAATATATATATGTATATATATGTACATATATATGTATGTATATATATATGTTCAGTGACTTGGGCGCTGTGCGAAAAATATTTGTGCCAGCCATAAGATACAACAACAACAAGAAAAAAGTATCTCTCCCTGTCTCTCTATGTAGCTCCCATCTTGCTGTCTCTCTGTCTGTTCGCTGGTTCCTCTCTTTCTGTACATGGCTATATATACTATGTAACTGTAAAATCCACTTGAAGCGCCAGCGCACGATCAGCGAATTGAGAAGAGCGCAAGCAAGCAAGCAAGCACACGCAAAGAGAGTTAGATGCCAACGAAAGAGCGTATTTTATAATTTTTTTGCTTATTGCTTTTCTTTTTTTTTTGGTTTTTGATTTGCTTATTAGGGGCGGTGGTGTTGGGCTCGGCCCGGTTCGGTTCGGTTCGGCCCGGCACGGTGCGGCAGCTAGTATGCGGGTTCAAATGCGGCCAGCATGACGAATTATTATTACACACACACATACTTGCAAATACAACAACAGCAAGTAAAATGAAATGTTATGTGTACACATACATTTACACACGCACATACAATGCACATTCTCAATGTGTATGTGTACATTAAATATTAAAAGAGATCTGGGACTGGGGCTGGCGTCTTTTGAACGAGAGCTGAGCTATCAAAGCTCATTGATCTGGGCTAATGAAACGATGCCAGCCTCCCCCTGCTCCTTCTCCTCTCACTCCCCTCTCTCGCTCTCTTTCTCTCTGTCTCTCGCTCGCTCTCACACCCAACATTTGATACTTTCCCGGAGCTCTTCAACATTTTAATTTCGTTTGTTTTTTAATTTTGATTATTTTCTCAGAGGCTGGCGACCGACCGGTTTAAGCCTGGCCAACAAATTCGATATACATATGGGATCAAAAAATGAAAAACAACAACTTTATAGCCAAAGCTCTCCATGCTGTAAATAACTATATATAATTATGTATGTATGTATGTATGTATGTATTTGGCCTCTCCATATGTATTACACAAGCATTTGTGAAAACGTCGTCGCCATCGTCGTCATCATGGCTTCAAACCGGATCTTTGGTTTGAAAGTACATTCACTTTATGCCACTGTTGCTGCTAACGTTGCGACGCAGACGTCAACGTCGACGTCGCTGCAGCCGGGCCCAGGCAAACAAACAGCCTTCAAATGACAAAAAGCTAGCCAAGTTGCTTTTGGCTTTGGCTAACTGCTTGACGACTGGCTTGGCTTGGCTTCGCTAGCTGACCAGACTACAACAACATCAACTAAAACAACGACGGCGACGTCGACTGCACATGCGCATAGTTCAAATAACTTGGTCAAGTTGACAAGATCAACAGCAGCAGGAGCGGCAGCAGCAGCATCACCAGCGACGGCAGCGTCAGCGCCAAGTGTTGCCAAGCGGCAGAGGCTGGAAGCCGGCCACAGCGTAGAGAGCAAGAAAAATAGCGAATGAGGGGGGGAAAACCAAATCCAAAAAAAAAACAAGAAAGACAGTCGGGCGTAGCCGACTGCGAAATACTTTGATGCCATAAGAAATACGCAGTTGTGGGCGTGGCCATACAAATTTGTTATCGATTCCTAAAGGCTTTGTCGATTTCCAAGCCACATTTTCTGAAGCGGACACAGACCAGTATATGTTGCTAGATTCAAATTTCTATTTCTAAGGGTCTCGAAAAAAGTTGCGTTTATACAGGCGGTCAGACAGCATAACGGACAGTGCAGAAAACCAATATACTGTGATGCCTTCGGTATCAAAGTATAATTACAAAAATCTATAATAAAAAAAAAAACAGGTTAACAAATGTGGCCGCAACAGCAGCAGCAGCAGCAACGTCAGCGTCGGAAGAAACTTGTTTTATTTTTTCCTATAAGTCTTGACTTGACGTCAAAGCCGGCTCACGACGACGACAGCGACGTCGACGACGCCTGCTTACATTCACTTTACAGCACGCGCAAAGAGCGTGAAAGTTAAGTTAAGAGAGCGCGATAAGCAATACCGGCAACCGGCATTGTCAATGCTGACAGCAGCAGCGGCAGAGGGAGCAAAGAGCGCAAAGTACGTTAAGTCATTCACATGCGCTCTTGCGCTTTGATTGTGTGCGAGTATATGTGTGTGTATATATATATATATATATGTATATGAAAGAGAGAGAGAGAGAGATTGTGAGAGAGCGTTTGAACAACGACGTCGACGATGACGGCGGCTGCTGCTGCTGCTGCTGCTATTGCTGCTGCCACTGCTGCTTGGCAGTTCGTTCGCATTCACAAGAATTTCACCGACATATAGTTTAGTACCGTTTTTGGCTGCAGTCGCACTACGGACAATATTCTAATTGTGCTAACGAACATTTTTTTCAAAAATCTAATATATAAATATAATACACATTCATAAATTGAAATTGATATGTGTGACAAACATTAAGCATATACAATTTAATTACAAACAGTTAATGCTATTAACTACACATTTTAAATGTTATTATACATGGCCAACGCCAGCCATATGGAAATGGAAATGAAAATGCGAATTGGAATGGAAAATGTGCTGCTGTCTCGTCGTACACACAATATATAATTAATAACAATCTGCTAGTGCAAATCAAATGTGTTGTTGATCAAATCAGCAAAAATTAAAAATAAATTAAAAATAAAATTACAACAAAAGTAATAAAAAAACCCCCTCCATACGAACGAACGCGTGCAACAAGTTAAATCCAGCTACAAGCTACAAGTTGTAAACCAAGTTAGAACTACACACATACAAACAAACATACATGTATACACACACACACACACACATACGCAAGTACTCGTTCGCGCTCTCACACACAGATGCACACACACACACAGACACAAGGAGACTTTAACAATGTCAAGTGAAAACATTCTTTGGAAGCAACAGGTTTCGCCCTAATAAGTGTTATAAAGAAACGCGTCCAGAACTGTTGTTGACTTTGACTTGAAAGAGAAAGAGAGACAGAGAGAGAGAGAGAGAGAGAGAAAAAAAGCAAAGATATTTATAAATTGATCAACAGTTATATATATATATATATACATATTCAGTTGAGCTGAATTTGAGGCAAATTAAGAGATTTGTGTGTGACTGCAACCAGGTGGAACGAGCAAGTCGAGCAACAATCAACAACTAAATAACCAGAAACTTAACTAAAAAGTTCTTAGAGCGCAAAAAACAAAAAGAGAGAGAGAGAGAGAAAAAAGAAGCGAAAACCTCAATATGGACTCATTCTACGATGGCGACCTCAAAGATATATGGGACTCCGATTTAGTTTCGGTAAGCGATCACCAACAAACACGACAAATAAGAGTTCAATTAATGGCCTTATCAGTTTCACGTGTTAATTTATAAGACCCAAAGCACAAAAACAAAAAGTGTACGAGTAAAATAATTGTGACGCGATGTGACGTTAAAAGTTAGTTAAAAGTACTTTGCGACTTACGATAAGAACACTTTAATCCTCACTAGAATAAAACAAAAAAAACTGCAAGATATATATATAATATACATAATAAACTTGAGCTTCTCCTGCTTGTTGATTTAAATATATAAGTATATATATTTCTAACGGATGCATGCTGTTTTGGGAACAGTTGTTATTAAAATGGAAACCCTTGACATTAACTGAACAATCTGCTATCTGCTATATGATAGATTTCGTGGGGTGTACTTAGAAATATGAAGTCATGTTCAGCAGAAAATCAAATTTGATTTAAGCATACAGCATTAATGACCCACATTAGGCTGAAAAATGCTTATCATCATAAGGCCCAGGCAAATGAACTTGCAAGCGTGCGTTGATTTCTTAGGCTCTTTCAAATGTAAATCGACTGGCTTCGATTATATTTATACATATGTATACAACAATATCAGCATGCTTAAATATACAAACACAATCGGTCAATGATAGATCGTGACTATTTTTCGTTTCGAAAGATTCCAAATTTCTTTTGAATCTTGTACAAGCATCTCAACAATATGTAAGACTAAATACATTTAAAATTGAAGTAATTTTTTTTTTGGTCAAACGAATCCAAAATGTGTTTTAAGTGTTTTAAAATAACATCCCATCGTCAAGGCCGCAAATTAGATAGAGGCTTATTTAGTGGTTGAACGCATCCAGATTTATTTTTTTATCGCTGGTCAAGAATCTCTATAAAATATGAGACTAAATACTTATTTTAAAATTAAAGTTCGCCAAGGCCACAGACAAAATAGAGGTGTATCATGCGTGGGCCACAGACTAAAAAGAAGTTTATTTAGTGGTCGAATGGATACCAATTTATTTATTTATATATAAGGTCGTAACACGTGCAAAAGAAATTAAAACGGCGATTTCATGATTATGATATTGGTTGGGCGAGTTCCACGCACTCGTAAAGTATCATTAAATTGACCACAAGTGTGTATAAACATATGCACATGCATGTATTTAGAGTTGGAGAAAACGCATTTGGGGAGCATTGGTGTTGCATGAAATGAGAGAAACTGTTTGAAAAGCCCTAAGCCAGCCTAAGTCAGCCAAGTTAGGCATTTCCCTTACTGAACCAAAAAGTTGTCTTCGTGCCTGCATATTAAGCAGGCATTTTTACAAAGATCTGAAAAACAGCTCTACCCCCCCGAAAAAAAAAAAAAAACTGAAAACTGAACACGAAACCAGTCCTATAAAACAACATCATAAAACTGTCTGTCGCTAGCTGTCTATGAAGTCTTGAAGTCTCTTAGCCCGTTAGCAAACCGTCAAATCTAATCGACGTTGTTGGGCCCTAAGTATGTAGATATCTGTGATATACGACGACATTGCCATACGGGAGACATACACACACCCTATTCTCGATACTCTGTTTTTTTTTTTTTAATTTGTTATTTCGATTTGATTTCGCACTTACTCCAAGAACGTGCCCCAAACAACTTTTGCCAATGCAGGCGTTCCAAGGTTTTCTTTTTCTTCTTCTTGGTTTATTTTTATCTCTCTTCTGCTATGCGAAGCATCCATCAGCAATATAATTTTTTCTTTTTTATTTAGTGATTTCTTGTGTTCAGAAAAATATCATTTACATGGGAACACGGGACGTGATAAGAAATTGTCGTCAGTCACAAACTATTTCTGGTCTTACGAAAAGTATTCTTTTTTTTTTTTTTGGTTCTTGTTTTACAAAGTGGTTTTTTCGTCTGATAATGATAATTAGAGTTTTCCAAGAAATTAAAAAAAAAAAGAAATTTATCATTTGGCGAGCAAATTTTTGTTTTGTTCATTTTTAAGGTTTTAGTTGATTTTGTTTTTTTTTTTTATTTCCCCTACCCCCCTCGCCGAAAACAGTTTCAATATAATGAGATATGTATGTGGGTGTGTGTGTGTTTGTGTGTGTGTGTGTGCATTTGGCTGCTGTTTGTGTGTGCGTGTTCTGGTTGAGCTTCATTTTCTGAGAGCTGCTTATCGCTGCGGAAACAGTAATGAATACATGTCGCCGTTGAGGAAGCGGCATAACATTTATGAGACGTCTCGACTCTAAAATACAAAAGAACGAAAGAATCTATTATGGCACACACAGACTCATAGAGATACACTGAGGAGGGGTGTGGTGAGGAGGGGACTGGTACTCGTAGCTGCAGTGATAAGACGAAATGTTATCAGCTGCGCTAAATGCAAAGTAACTAATGACTTTTTTGTTTTTGCCTGCCTGGCTGCCGGCTGCACTTTAAACTGACAGACGAACCTCGGGGCCTCAGATGTCATTACTGGGCGAGATAATGCAGCCATGCCAGAAATAGGCTCACACACACAAAGAACACAAAAAGAAAAAATCAAAAACAACATTAAAAAAAAAAACGAAAAGCAACGCAAAATTCCCGGGAAAATCGCGCGTGCAATTTTTGTGTTCTCTTCTTTTTTCCCCGCCCATCGATTACGTCAGTAGCTGTTTTGGTTGTGCATGTGTGTGTTTGTGTGTGTGAACCGTAATATTGCCAGCATAAAAAGATATTTATGAAAAACAATCGCCACGATTTGAACTTCAGTTTCTCGTCTTCGTTCATTTGGCATTATTATTATTATTTAAAATTCAAATTATCATTCCATAAAGTTGGAAGTCATTTTATTGTCTTATCAAGAATCTTATCACAAGAGCGTATTTGGTAAGAGGCACAAACGTCAGATAAGACCTCAAAATAGTTTTGATTACGTTCACAAACACTTTTTGTTATACTTGGAGACCAGTAAATAAAAATAATATATGTATGTATTTATAATATAAGCAAAACCCTATTGGGGCTTTTCCATAAAAAAATAAAGCTAAATAATCTGTTTAGACGGAAACAGGCACTTCGTAATAAAAGTGAAATTAAAATATTCAATTATCAGCGGTAAAATCCCGGAGAACCCGCTTTACTTTTATAGATGTATATATATAAACAACTATATAACCGTGCCGTGTAAACAATCTGTCATTTAATTGAGACAGAACACAATGAAAATCCCCTTTCAAAGGGGGGTCACAGACAGCACGCGAGTCTGTCACAATAATTATTTCTCAAGTGTATTGTTATCAGTGCTGTGAGGAATGTACTCAATTCAATAATAATTGCATTACTCCAAACAACTATTAAATTATAAGCATTCACCGAATACATTTGCATTTTAAAAAATTCACATTCGAACACCAAAATACAATAAATAATTATAATCACTTTCTTTGAAAGTTTATCAAGCAAGAAAGAAGACCTCATTAAGTAAACATGCATATTCTTGATCAGTATCACTAGCCGAGTCGATATAGTCATGTCTATCTGTCTGCCTGTTTCTATGCCAACAAGATTTTAAAGCTGTCTTGCTGAAACTTATCATATACTCATCTTTTGTCGTAGCAGACCGGATCGAAACATTTGTCATATGGGAAGAATCAGTCGAGAGATGAGTTCGTGTCTGAAAGCCAAAAAAATATAAAACCTGGTTCATCCTAGAACGGAATATCTGTTCTCTTAAAATTCAAATTTAAATTTTCCACAGCAAATTGGTTGGCCTGAAAAGTTTGTATACAAAAAAAAAAAGACTATAAAAATGTGTATATAGTGTGGTTCATTATGGTGGTCCATTGATATTGATAAGAACTTCAACATATTGCTACTGCCAGCTAAAATTCTATTTTCACATTTTGTTCAACGATAAGAGGCACACGCTGCTTGGAAACAAAACGTCACACTAAACGAAGCTTTCGAATGAATCTTTAATTTATTGATACACAATGTAGTTATGACTTTCATACATATATATATGAAAATGTATAATGTATAATCAGTGTACAGTGAATATAAAAGGTTATTCACTCGTAGACTACAGTGTAGATCTACCGATATTGAGGGAAATGTGCATTTGGAGAACCCTTATCCCAATGTAAATGTTTTTTTTTATTAACAATATGTTCATTTTTTTATATTTAATTATATGAAATATTGAAAACTCTCTGCATAGTCTGGCAACGCCAAGCGATCCCTGCACTCGTTGTCTAGCTGGCTGCTATGAAACTCGCGCATTGATTTCTTAATATTGTTGCTCTAAATATGTTCCAAAAACACAATCACAAATCGTTTTTGGCATGCTACCAGCGTTGAGAAGATTTGGTCTTGGTGGGCTACAACCATTTTCCTCGTTTTGGTTTTTCTATTTGTTCTTCTTGGCTTTGGAGAAACACAAAGAAACATGGTAAAAATGATTACCTTGGGTCGACGAAAGCTACCAAAAAAAAAAGCAAAAGAAAAAAAATCGCCTTCACAAAAGAATGCTGACCGTAAATAAAAACAAAAATGAAGCCGAAGCAGACCAACAACTCTACAGTTTTCATAAAGGTTGAGCGTTGATCGTTGAGCAAATTGGTAAGACCAAAAGTCAAGTCGAGAAGAAAACTGCTGTATTAACAAACAAGTTCAAGTTAATAAGTCAGCAAGTTTACTTGACTTTTGAACACACACAGACATGTGTGTGTGTGTGTGTTTATATTCATATATACATATCTATATATATATTTTTTATTATTATTATTTCAACGTATTTTACACTTTTGATAAAACTTTCGCTTATATAAGCAAAAGTTTGCAACCAATTTGGCTAGCTCTATGAGCGTTAATAATTATATTAACAATTTTCCAAAGACAATTTGACACCCTTTGTGGAAAGCAACAACAACAACGCCAGCAACAAGAGCAAGCAAAGAACAGTTAACCGTTGATGCAAATTTTGTGTGTGTGTGTGTTTGAGGTTATGTCGAATTTCTAACGGCTTA